TCACATCATCTGCAAACAGGGACACTTCTGAGTCGATTCCTTCCGTCATGTCGTTCACATATACCAGAAACTGCACACGTCCTAGGACTGACCCCTGTGGAACCCCACTCATCACAGGCGACCACTCTGACACTTCGTCTTGTACAATGACTCTACAATGACTCTCTCGCATTCCCTGATCCATACCTGCCTGGTCCTCCAGCTTATGCACTAATCTCTTGTGTGGAACTGTGTTGACAGTCTTCTTACAGTCCATGAAAATGCAGTCAACCCACCCCTCTCTCTTATCTTACTGCTGTCACCCTGTCATAGAACTCAGTAGGTTTGTGACACAGGATTTCCCATCCCTGAAACTGTGCTGGTTGTTATTGATAAGCTCATTCCTTTCTAGGTGCTACACCACTCTTCTGATAATCTTCTCCATGACTTTGCATACTATACATGTCAGTGACACTGGTCTGTAGTTTAATGCTTCATGTCTGTCTCCTTTTTTAAAAATTGGGGCTCCATTTGCTGTCTTCCATACCTCAGGTAGTCGCCCTGTTACGATAGATGTGTTGAAGATTGTTGTTAGTGGTATGCATAGCATCTCTGCTCCCTGTCTCAGGGCCCATGGAAAGATGTTATCTGGCCCCATCACCTTTGAGGTATCTAGCTTGCTTAGCAGCCTCTTCATTTCTTCCTCAGTTGTATGTATTGTGTCTAACACTTGATGATGGACCCCACTTGTCTGTCTTTCTGGAGTCCCTTCTGTCTCCTCAGTGAACACTTATTTGAATCTCATGTTGAGCTCCTCACATACTTCTTGGTCGTTACTTGTGATCTCCCCTCCTTCCTTCCTCAGCCTGATTATCTGGTGCATGACTGTTGTTTCCCTCCTGATGTGGCTGTACAACAGCTTTGGGTCAGATTTGCTTTTGCTGCTATGTCATTTTTGTATTGTCGTTGGGCCTCCCTTCTTACCTGTGCATATTCATTTCTGGCTTGACGACTGCTCTCCTTATTCTCCTGGGTTCTTTGCCTTCTGTACTTCTTCCACTCTCTAGCACACTTGGTTTTGGCCTCTCTACACATTTAATAATTATAATATCTTTATTTACTACAAGTACATGTACATGGTATACAGGCCTAGCTAACATCAGTAACATACTACTATATAGAAATCGAAAGCCCCTTGTTATGCTGAGCATTTCGGGCATATTAGGTCAGTGTTGTTCCAGGATGCAACCCACAACATGTCGACTAACACCCAGGTACCCATTTTAAGCTGATGGGTGAATAGGGATAGGGACAGCAAGTGTTATATGGGAACACGTCCCTAATGTTTTCCAGCCATACCGGAGGAGATTCGAACATCCTGGCCTTCTCATTATTTTTGTTACCCTTAGGTAGAAACCTCTCCTCAGCTTCCTTGCATATTGTTGTCACATATTCCATCTCATTTTATAGACCTCCTGCCAGAACCACATGGTCACTGGCCCCAAGGGGTCTTTCATATGTGATATCTTCCAATATCTGCACTACTGAAGGAGAAAAAGTCCAGCCCTGCTGGTCCGTCCTCTCTTCTCTCTCTGGTAGTGTCCCTTATGTGTTGGCACATGAGGTTTTCCAGTACCACTTCCATCATTTAACCTTCCACGTTTCTTGGCCCCCATGTGGCTCCAGGTTCTCCCAGTCAATTTCTTTGTGATTGAAGTCACCCACAATCAGCAGCCTTGCCCTGCTCGCATGAGCCCTTCTGGCCACTTCAGCCAGTGTGTCAACGTTTTTCTGTTACTCTCATAATATTCTTGCCTTGGCCTCCTGCTGTTTTGTGGTGGGTTATACATCACTGCAATTATCACCTTGGGACCTCCAGAATGGTGTTCTATTACGTGGTCTCTTGCTTCTCCTGTCTCCTCTCTCCAGCTCATCAAAATCCTTTTGGTTTTTGATGAGCAGTGCCACTCCTCGACCCCATCTGTTCACTCTGTCCTTCCTCAAAATCTGATATAGCACCTATTATCATTCCTGTGAGCTTGGGTTCAGTGAGAGCTGTGATGTCCAGTGTTGGTGTACCATACCTTCAGTTTCCTCTCCAACACAGTGTTCTGGGGGTATGTGGGGGTTGGGTCCTGGCACTGTGCTGTGGGGTGGGGGCTATAATTGTGGATTGTGGTTTCTGTTGGGATAGCATGTTTGGCTGTGGGGTTCTGAGGGTGGTTTTGTGTGTACTTGCGCTGGTTGCTCTACCCAGCTCTGATTATCCTCTGCTGACTCTGTCTTTGTCTCTCTTCCCAGCCCCTTTTGTTTCTGTGTCTTCTTCGACAGCAGCTATCATTCTATTCTTGTTCTGTTGCAGTCTAGGAACACCCTTTTGTATGTTGATGATTCCTTCCTCTTGCAGGACCCTGTTCTGCACCATTTCTGTCTTGAAAATCAGTTTGACCGGCCAATTTCTCCCCTTCAAGTACCCTCCTATTCTCTGAAAATTTATTATCTTAGTTATGTCCTCACCTATTTCTTTGATGTTTTCAATCTCCTGTTTTTCTTTCTGCTGTTTTTCATTATGTGTCCTCCCTTTGCTCTCCTGAAGCCCATGAATAAATACTGACTTCTCCCTCTCCTCCCATTGTCTTTCCCTCTGTGTTTTTGGGTCCCATTTGTACATAGCCATTGTCTCCCTATTTGTTCCTGTAACTCTTGGTGGCATGGTCATGCCTCTGCATACAACCTGTCACATTCTCTACCTTCACCCCCCTCACTGCTATCCCTGCTCCTAACAGCTCTTTCCCTACATTCCTCGGCCTTGCTTGGTGGACTGATAGGGCCTTAGCATAAGTCTTGTCTCCTTCCTTTCTGTTGGGCTCCTCATTTAATAGGGGTGTACCTGCTTCAGATGCATGTCTTCTCTGGGGACTTGTCCTGTAACTTGCTTCAGCATATTTACCTCATATTCTAGGGTCCATATTCTGGCTTCTGTGGCTTCAGCTTGTGACTCCCATTTCTTCTGCTCTGTCTCCATTCTCTTCTCCATTTTGCAGAAAGCTCACTCAGTTTGCTCTCCAAATCTTGTTCCATTCTTTTACATTACTCTTCCATTCACTCTTGTGTGTGTGTGCATGTGTGTGTGTGTGTGTGTGTGTGTGTGTGTGTGTGTGTGTGTGTGTGTGTGTGTGTGTGCACGCACATGTGCATGTGCATGCTTAACAATTCGCAAATGGGTGAACTTTTAATAAACATTATCTCTCAGTCCACAGCAGGACTCGAATCTGCACACTCTGTATCAAAGTACACAATACTTTCTCCACTCAGCCAGATCCAGGCACAATACCATGACTGGAGCAATACACAAATAATACACACATAAAATGAACCATATGATGCCATCACAAGGTTCATTTTCGTATTTACAGGTTATTTGTCTATAGCATCACCTCTATAATTGACTAGGGACCGACATCCTCAGAGAAAAGAATTGATGTACTTCAGAGAAAGCTCTGGATGTTTCTTTCTGGAGCTGTTTGAGTATTTGCTTTCCTTACTACCCCTTATATGCTATGTGCATGAACTTGTTTGAAAAATGCATTAAAATATTAAAAATGTATATTGGGAGGGAGAACAACTTGCATTGCATCTCAGAGCCTTCATCTCGAATACTTCATTCAGCTTCCAGGCGGCATGTTGTGTGCCCAGAATATTGCAGGCATTTCCTCTCCCGATCGCATTACTGAATCTCTGGAAAAGGAAGCTGGTCACTCTGGGGTCCTTGGTTTCCCTCATGAGTTTGTCACCCAACTCGAAGAATCTGAGAGCACATTAGCCTTATGCTCCGAGATTCTCCAATCTGTTGGGCCAGCGCACTGTAACTGGGTCTCCTTGAAACTGGTATCACCACCCCTTTCAGCTTCAGAGTATTGTAAGTAGGTGTCAATCAGTGTAAACGCACAGGTGTGGTCCCCTGAAATCTGCTTACCGTCTTTCCAGGTTAGTATGGTCACTGCATCCGGGTGTTTGTGGCTTCCATAAGGCCTTTGTTCCTGAGGTTTCCATTCTACTGGACATAGGAATATGATGAGCCTTCACTTGATGTCACTGACTTCTTTGTGTCTAGCATACTTTCCTTTTGACGTATGACAGACGAGACCCTGGGGACCAAATTGATCAGCTGACACCCAGCCGCAAGTGTACCTGTGTTCAGTGAGTGTGAGGGCGGCTAAGTGAGGAGCTATACTAATCCGCATGACCCGAGGGTCGAGGCGAATACTCAAGGAGGAAGTAAGGACGGCCAAAAGGAAATCTCGAGGATGTTGTGCATTCACCTTTTCAGTTCCCTCTTGAAGACAGCCAATAGTTTATTAATAGGTAATTCCCTTTATGTATGATGGGAGGCTGTTGAGCCGTCTTGGGCGCCCTGACACTTACGCGTTTTCATAGTGTATTCATGGCACCCCCCACTTTTCATTGGAGGTGTGTTGCACTGTCTGCCGAGTCTTATGCTTTCGAGTGATTTCTATGTGCAGATTTGGAAGCAGTCAGTCAAGGATTAACAATTTGTAAATTATAAAGTGCATTTCTTGCCTTCATTCCCAGTAATTAAGGTGCTTGATTAAACGTAGGGTGCAGTGAAAATCCTCTGTACGTTCTCAAGATCTGCAATTTCACCTGACTTGAAAGCCGCTGTTAGTGTACAGCAGTATTCCAGCCCAGAAAGAATAAGTGACTTAACAAGAGAACATTATGTATAAGAAAGGGTTACTCTTTCTTACCCTATAATAAAGGGCAACACCTGTTGCTTTCATTATCTTTTACTTTACTGTCTTTTCTAGTTGACTCTCTCTCTCTCTCTCTCTCTCTCTCTCTCTCTCTCTCTCTCTCTCTCTCTCTCTCTCTCTCTCTCTCTCTCTCTCTCTCTCTCTCTCTCTCTCTCTCTCTCTCTCTCTCTCTGCCACCCTCCCCGTGTATGAGTGTGTGTTGTTTGTGATGGTGCTAACGTTGGTGTTCTCTGGTGTTGCAGCAACAAGTGCCTTAATGAGAAGCGTCGTCGAGAGCAGGAGAACACATACATCGAGGAGCTGGCAGAGTTAATCCAAGCCAGCATCGCCTCTGACATGAGCTCGCTCTCTGTCAAGCCGGACAAGTGCGCCATCCTGCAGCAGACTGTCAACCAGGTATGTCCTTGCCATCCTCTCACCCTCCCTCCCTCTCCCAGGTGTCCTGCTACCTCACCCAAGTGTCCTGCTCCCTCACCCAGGTGTCCTGCTCCCACCCTCACCTTCGTATCTTCAAGAAGGGACTTCATAAATTCTTCAAGTGGTTCATATTTTGGACTGTGTGGTTGCCACCAAGAATCTGCTTGATTAGGCCAGGACACTGGAATAGTCTTCAGGTGACACCTCGCACGTTCCCTTTGCTTAGTCACCCTCACCCACACGTTCCCTTTGCTTGGTCACCCCCACCCATACGTTCCCTTTGCAACTTCCTACTATTGAAAACAGAGTCCTGATTTAAAAGCCTGTCAAACCCGACCCTAAATATTATATTGCTTGGCTAGCTGCAAGAACTGTGTCAAAACTGTCAGTGGTGACAATAAGGCAGGAGGAGGTGCATTTCCTTCTTAAATCGCTTGACCAAGAAAAGGCTGTGGGCCCAGACAAGTTGAGCCCAAGATTGCTGAGAAGATGTGCAGACCAGCTAGCAGCACCTCTAAGTCGTATCTTTCAGCACTGCCTAGTACAGTGTAAATGGCCCTCTCTATGGAAAGAGGCAAATGTAGTCCCTGTTCACAAAAAGAAGAGCAGAGCAGAAATCAGCAACTACAGACCAGTGTCACTCCTGTCAATCACTGGCAAGATCCTTGAGACAATAATCTCAAGACAAATGACAGAGTTTTTTGACTACCACTCACTACTTTGTGATCGTCAATATGGCTTCAGGAAAGGTTACTCTGCTGTTGATCTGTTGTTAAACCTCTCCACTAAGTGGCACCAGTCACTGGATGAATCCAAAGTCAGCTGTGTGGTAGCATTGGACATTGCTGGCGCTTTCGACCGGGTGTGGCACCAGGGCCTCTTAGCAAAACTTCAAGCACTGGGAATTGCAGGCTCTATGCTATGTCTCCTCAGTGATTACCTTCATGGTAGATCTCTAAGTTTAGTTCTCAATGGAACGGAATCAGCAAGACATCCTATTGGGGCAAGTGTTCCACAAGGAAGCGTACTGGGACCATTGTTATGGAATGTCTACTTCAACGACCTTCTTCATCTCATCCCAGAATCACATGCATATGCAGACGACTGTACACTGACATTCACTTATCCAAGAGAAGAAATGCCAGCTGCTCTAAGCTACATCAATCACCAGCTGAGAGCTACATCAGCTTGGGGAAATAGATGGCAAGTAACATTTGCACTTGAGAAAACGCAAATGATGATCGTCTCTAGGCACCATGATGGTAATGCTTGTGCAGTAGTAAGGATGAATGGGAGGGTGTTGGCACCTGGAGAAAAAGTTGATATCCTTGGGGTGAAATTTGACTCCAAACTAACCATGAAGAACCACCTTGTAAATCTTGCAAACAAGGCAGCCAGGAAGCTTACAGCACTTCGCCGTATCTCGCATCTGCTTGACAGTAGGGGTTGCAAGATTCTGTACGAGGCACAAGTACGCTCACACCTTGAGTATGCTCCACTTTCTTGTTTTGCCTGCCCCCCCCCCTCTCATCTGCGACTGCTTGACAAAGTAGAGAACAGAGCAAGACATCTCATCTCTCACCTGGGCCCATCCTGGATAGATCTGTCATTTCAGCAGAGCCTTCAACAAAGGAGGGATGTGGGTGGCCTTACTGTTATGTACAAGGCCAATATTGTCAAAGTACCACACTTGGATCCACTTCGAGGACAGCGTGAAACAAGCTTTTATGCCACAAGACGGGCAGAAAGCAGTAACTTCACTCTGGCTGTACCCTTCTCCAGAACATCACTCCATCTGAGATCATACATACCCAGGATGACTCGAGTATGGAACACATTCATACAGCATAATGATGTCAACGAGATAAAGTCAGTTGATCTATAAACATATTTATACAATAAGATCACAGTAAACAGGTGATATCACAGTATGCAGACACAACCAATGTGAAAAAATAGTGAACTTCCAAGAGCTTTCGTGATTTCTCACATTATCTATGGTTATGATATCATAGTGAGTTATAGATCTACTCTGACTTCTAACTGCATTCTTATAACATTCTGTTTCATTATTCACTTCTCCTAATATTGTTCCTAATGCTAGACACAGACACATAACAATTGTACATTTATCATTTTTTCCCGGATATTTTGGTATCTATATCTGTCTGTTTAGATATGGAAAGAATGTAGAACTCGAAAGGGACGCTGAAGACAAAATTCAAAAGGATTATCAAATAGAATGAAAGGAACACGTGAAACACCTGGGAGTAGTTATGTCAGCTGACATTTCGTTCAAAGAACACAATAAGACAAATGTCACGACAGCCAAGAAAATGGCAGGATGGATAATGAGAACTTTCAAAAACAAAGGAAATGGTGAAAATGGTGACACTTTTCAAATCGCCTGTGCTCTCTCGTTTATAATATTGTTCAGTGTTGATGGGCCAGTTCAGGGCAGGAGAAATATCAAAGCTTAAACAGATGCAGAGATCACATACGGCTCCCCATAGAGTCACTAAAGCTTTTAAATTACTGGGAATGTCTTAGTCTCAAAATATATACTCAGTGGAGCAGTGGAGATATACATGATAATATATAACTGGAAAGTACTTGAGGGTCTTGTGCAAAATAAACCCGGTGAAAAGCAGGGGTGCAGTGGACACAATAAGGGAACACTGTATCAGTGACCGGGGCCCTAGACTATTCAGCATCCAACTAGAATATATCAGAAACACTGATGGAGCAAGTGTACAAGTCTTCAAGAAGAAACTGGACAAGTATCTTTACCAGGTGCCAGATCAACCAGGCTGTGAGCAAAGGTTAAGGTATGGTATACAGTATACACAGACCTTCGGCGCCCTGTACAATGACGCTATGGTTCCAGACTTATGGGGACACTCTGTGTGACATACAGTAAAACTTAGAAATAGTGAACATATAGTGAACGTTATTGAAGTGAGAACTTGTAGGGTGAGAGTGGTTGAATGCAGGAGGACCAGCAGACTCATGGTTACTCACACTCACTCTAACTAGACTTTCAGTGTTCACTCACAAAAGTAAATTGTCAATACTGTAGAACTATCTTCAGCAGAAAGTAAAAAAGATTCATTTAAGGCGTATGATCACTCCCATATTTAGTCAACTTTGTCTCAACTTAATAAACTTTGTGGCAAGATGCAAGTCATCACCTAGCACTTGATCTTTTACTCTTGACGAATGAGGGCGGCACACCCAGGCTTGTCATGTTGACAACGACGAGGACGACGAGGTCGAGGAGGAGGCAGGAGGAGGAGGAGGACGAGGAGGAGGCAGAAGAGGAAGGACAGGGGAGTGACCTAATATATTAGTGGACAACCGGTGAGGGGCTCTTGATTCAAGCAGTTGTACTTGTCGTCCCCTTCATTGAATCAAACCTTATTGTCTTCCATTCCACTACCTTTATGAGTTTATCTTTTTAAAACATCTATTGATTTCTTGAGTATTTTGTTGGTTTAACTCTGCTATATACATTACCAAGGTTTGTTTATTTTAGTCATTCATCCAGAATTAATAACCAATACACTAACGTCAGTAAATGTAATGATACAAAGACCGAACTATACAAGTTGAAGGAGCAACCTGGACACACACACATACACACACATACACACACACACACACACACACACACACACACACACACACACACACACACACACACACACACGCACACACACATGCATACGCACGCACACACATACGCACACTGTTTAATGAGTTTGTTTGGTAGTATGGTAGCGGGGAGTAAATGATACGTCTTCGGAGGCTTCTTACTTTATTGTTAAGTGTCGTGGTGGGTACACAGGCTTGTGTGTTTGTGCCCATGGCCCGGACAGGGCCATCTCACTAGAGAGAGCTGGGACGCCTTGTGTCTTCCAGCTAGGCCGCTGTGTGAGTGAGAGCGTGGCAAGGCCCGGCAGGCTGGCGTGCCCACCGAGAGGCCTGGCTACAGAGGGCAGCACCTTAGTGGCGCGAAATGTGAACTAAGCTGGCAGACAGCATGGGCTGTCTGTGCAGACAGTACAGGCTGTCTACATACGCTCGGCCACCTACCTCGCGTCGTCACGACGCGACGATACTGGTGGTAAAGGGAACTCAGTCTCTCTCTCGTAGGAACAGGGCACAGAACACAAAATAAAAACATATATATACATATGGACATGGAAAAAAAACTTCCTACAGGGAGGGAAGAAAAAAACATGTGGGGTGTGCTAAACATCGTGGTCAAAGGCAGTGAGCATCGAAGTGCATCACTGCCTTCCTGCGTCTGGACAGATACTGCAACACGGGAGACATCGCTGCGGCTGAGCTGTGACGTAACAGGGTACGGTCTCCTCTGGAAAGGTGAAGCAGACAGCGTAGGAGTCGCTGCAGGTTTCACTCAACCTGGGGCAAGACATGGTGGTGCCCTCAAGTGAGGCGTCGACAAAACTCGGCAACTGGGTAGGACTTCTGACAAGCGACTCAGGAGGACGCTTCTCGACTGGTACTGTCGCTGAGCTGTCACTGCCGGCGAGCATGAAGCGAGTTGTGGAGTGAGTCGTGGCAGAGACGACTGGGCGAAACATCTGGGAGTCGTAACATCATACACCAGACTGCAGTGAGCGAGCTAGCAGTCAAAGTGACATCTTCTTTGTGCAGGCTGCTCACTGAAGCTTGTGACACGAGGGTGACACAGCGCCTGCCGACAGGGCTGACTGCGGCTTGATGAGTATCATTCTCTCGGCAGTTGGAGTTATAGCAGAGGTTAGTCTAAGCGTCCCCAGACTTGTTTCTCTACATATAACTGCACTCTGACGGTCTGGAGGTGAAGTGAACAAATCTCAATGGGAATCGTAGCAGGTACGATTCTGCAGAACATCACGAGCGACGAGCATAAAAGCTTTCTGTACAAGAGGGCTCGGTCACTCGGGGCTGTCTTGACATCAGCTGTCATA